CGTGTGCCCCCTGTCGTCGTCTTCGTCGTCGTCGTCGTCTTCGTCAACCTCCTCCCTCTCTCTTCCTCCCTCGCCCCCCCGCTCGTCCTGCGCTCGTCAACCTCCTCCCTCTCTTCTCCTCCTGCCTCTCCCTTCTTCCTCCTTCGTCAACCTCCTCCCTCTCCTTCCTTCCTTCCTTCCTCCCTCCTCCTCCCTCCCAAAGATGCAACGCGGAAGGCCTCGTGAGCGCCTTTCCTGGGCTCGTGGAAACCACTCGGTGGGCTATTCAAGGCGTGCGGTGGGGAGTCTCTCAGAGGCTTCGTTGGGTCCTTGGGGTGCGCAATGTGGGGTGTATCGGGACCTCTCGGGGGCTCTTCGGGCCGTCTTGGGGCATTACTGAGTCTCCTAAGGGTCTCTCAGGCTGTGTTGGAGCCGTCATGGAGGCGTTTCGGGCCGTCTTGGGGTTGTCCTGGAGGATTCTTGGGCAATCTTGGGCCCCTCTCTGGCCCATTGGATATATTTTTTGGGGCTTTCGGGCCGACATGGGGCCGTCCTGGAGGATTATTGGGCGATCTTGGGGCGCTTTTGGGCTCTTTAAATGTATTTCTTTGGTTTTCGGGCCTTCTTGGGGCCGTCCTGGAGGATTCTTGGGCAGTATGGGGGCCCCCTTGGGCACCTTAGATGTAATTTGTTGGTTCTCTTCGGTTGCAGCTTTTGCAATTCATAACTCAGCCGAGTTTTCTTAACTCGGTTCAGTTTTCCCTTATTTTTTGCACGAGAAAGTCGCCGAAACGGCCCCCCCGAAACACTGCCCCCCCCGGGGCCCGGCAGAGCCCTCGGTGGGCCAACCCGCCCCGATCATCATTCATCACATCACCTCATCATACCGTCGCCGCTGTTATGGCTCAAGTATCGTAGTGATCACGCACACGTCGCCACCGTCGAGAGTTGACGCTGCAGCTTTCGCCCCCCATGGCCGCCGTCGTGGGTGCTCCCAATTCTTTGGCTGAGGAACCCGAGGTGCAGGCGGAGACGGGCGAGCCGCGTTACACGTTCGCCATGGCGTGCAGCATCGCGAAGGGGCTGAAGATTAAGCAGCTGCCAAAATGCGCTTTCTCTGGAAAGCAGGAGAACGGCGTCACAGGCAAGATGGACTTGCCGCTCACATCTCTGGACCAATCTTCAGGAAAAATGACGCACGTCGTTGATGTTGTCCAAAGCTACACTGACGCCTTCGACCCAGACGAGATCGCAGGCTTCATGGCGCAGCAGATGTACATGAACCTGCCTGGTAAGATGAAGCCGGCGGCCGTCGTCGTGTGTCCGTTCAAGTTGCAGATCGTCATGCTCAAGGAGGCCGCCGCCGAGAACTCGTGCACCATCATCAAGCACTATAAGTTCGACGATCGGCAGGAGTACGATGTGTACGGCGCGGTGTGCCAGGGCGTATTGATGAAGATTAACTGGGGCAATCAGGTGAGAGTCGGCGCACTCGCTTTCAACTTCATGTTGGACAAGCTCGGTGGCCTGCTGCAGTATCGCTGGTGGTCGTTCGACCAAAACTTGGCCGACAGGGTGGTCAGCCAATCCGAAATAGGAGTGGCGATCGATTGCATCCGCGCGCACACGCCGTACAACAACGCCGACCTGAAACAGACGGCGTGGACGCTGCAGGAGCTCGCGGACCCAGACAGCAAGATCAAGTGATTCGACAAGAAAGACATCCGAGAGTGTCTCGCGCAGTTGCGGAGCAAGTCGGTGACGGCGAGCAAGTACACGCACCTGCCGATCGCGTGGGGCGACGTGGAGCTATGGGCGCAGAAGATCTTAGAGCCGCTGATTCCGTCGCTGAAGCGCAAGTCGATCATATTCCTTGGCCTCGGCGGCATGGGCAAGACACCTCTGATGCATGCGCTGATGATGGCCCTCTCGAGGTTCCACATTAAGGACCAGGGAGCCCGCGACACCGACGTTGTTCCCATGTTTAAGACGGCGACGGACCTCGACTTTTACCGCGACGAGCCAGGCGAGCGCTGGTGCGGCTGCTGCCTCGACGACGGCGACATGTCGGACCTGTCCGTGAAGGTGTTCAAAAGCTTCTTGGACGTCAGCTGCAGGGAGCCCCTCACCCGTGAGAGGTGGGGCGCCAGTAAGTTCGTGCAGTGCCAACCCAGGATGATGGCCGATAACGAGTTCGACGCCAGCCTCGACCCAACGGTCGCGCTCGACGGCAGGCAGGTCAGGGCAGGGGCTGTCCTAGGGGGCGCAGCGGACCGCATCACGAACGAGGCCTTCATCAAAATGGTGAGGCCCGCTTTCCCCCCGTGTTCTGAGGCGGACCTGGAGGCCATCTTCAAGCGTGTCAATGTGATCGCGAACACCGAGCACTACGTCCACGCCCGGCCTCGGGGCTTGCACACGACCTCCACGATCGTCACGTACAAGAGCGAGGGCTCCTACATCGCCCAGAAAGCGAAGGACGTCCTTAGCGTGCAGGTGAAGCGCGAGCAGGAAGAGGATTTCTTCACGATGAACTCCGAACTCGCCGACCAGACAAAGCGGAACCCCATTGACGTGGACGCGACGGACGAGCCTCCTTCCAAGAGGTCCAGGGTGGGCGACGGCGCTTCCTCGTGCGCGGCCATCCTCATCGAGAACGACGTCTTCCTGGAGCGGTCGGCGGCCCTCGCCGCGAGCAAGGAGTGCATCGAGGTGCCCGACCTGGACAGCGAGGAGCATGCGATTTCTGTCGACGATTGCGAGGAGACCCCGATTTCCATGGATGACCTGTACGAGGCATTCATGAGGGACGCGAACGCCGCGAGGGCGGACGCCGACGAAGACGAGCAAGCGTTCGCAGGCGAGGAGGAGGAGGACGTGTTCGGGTTCGGGGGCAGCATGGACTAGGCGAAGTGAGAAGTGAGGCCGTGACAGCGGGCAGGGCGCCCTGTTCAGGGTGGCGCGGCGGGCTGAGGTCCGCTGGGCCACGCGTCCTGGGCCCGATGGGGCGTCTCGCCAGGTGGGGTGGTCTGGGCGCTGCGGCGTGGGTATCCATGCTTGCCAGAGCTGCTTGCATAAGAGATGTATAGGCACCCGAACGTGTGCTCGGACGTCTGTGATGTCTGCGGGGACGGGGCCTCCGAGGTTGAAAAGCTTGGGATGTGTTGCCGCTGCTGCTAAGCCATGCCATTGCCTCGGCACCCCTGTTGCTTCCCGCGGCCGTTTTGGCTCGAGCTCGTTCGAGGTCAGCGCTCGTGGGCTGTGCCCGCTCACCTGGCGCCCCGATGGGCCTGCGGCGCGGGTCGCCAGCGCCCGCGGCGCGCGCGTGCAGGCGCTGCACTTGCTGCGGCAAGACGGGGCGCACCGTGGCCACGTGCAAGGCGACGGGCGCGAAGAAGATTCGAGAGTTACTTGCTGTCTTGAAGCTGCGGGCAGGACAGAGGGGGACCAAGCCGCGCATGGGCGTTCGGACGACGGGCGCCGCAGCTGTGAAGAAGCGGCGCAAGGCGTACACCCCGAACCCTGCAGTGAGCACCAAGCAGGCTGCGAAGAGGAAGGTGACCAACCAGCTGGTTCGCGGGGCGAGCGGGCGCAAGGAGCTCTTCATCAAGAACGACGCCGTCGCGCTGGACAGCGCCGTACGCCAGCTGAAGGACTGTGGCATCATCAAGATTCCGAAGAAGTGCCCGTGCTGTGGAGTGGCATTGTCAGCGCACCTGCACCAGCAGCGCATCGGGGGCTCGGGGCGCGCGTTCTACCGGCGCAACGCGTGGAGCTGCAACAGGCGCTTCTACGTCATGCAGCTGACGCCTTTCAACCAGATGCGGCTGCTGCCGCAGCAGGCGCTGGCGCTGCTGAAGGAGTACTCCCGCCATGACCGCACCGCCCCGCCTGGCCCCAGCGCCCTCGCGGCCAACGCGGGGTGCGGCAAGTTCATTGCCCGGCGGTTCGCGAAGATGTGTCGCGACGCAGATGCGAGGCAGGGCCAGCTGCTGAATCGGAGAGGCACGATCGGGGGCGACGTGGAGTTGGACGCCCACCAGGTCGCGAAGATCCACGTGTCGCCGAAGAATGAGTCTTACCAGCACCTGATTCAGGACAAATGCGTCAGGAAGCCCCCGAGCTACTTCCAGCTGTACGTGCAAGTCGCTGGCGCGATCCAGCGGGGCATGGGCAAGCTATACCTGTCTTTCCTGCCGTTCCACAAGCTTGTCCCACCGAGGGCGCGCCCGCCTCCGGAGTCGTACCAGGGCGTCTTGGCGACTTCCCTGCTCGACAGAATCGCCCCGAAGTCCAACGTCCACACCGACGGCAACAAGGCGTGGCCCAAACTCGCGTCCACCAAGTACAGGGAGAAGAAGTTCAGGGTGCACCAGGTGTCGCACAAGAACAACCAGTTCACCAAGGCCGTGCGCGGGAGGAGCCGCAATGCTAAGAAATTGTCTACGCTGGCGGGCACGCAGTGCATCGACAGGGCCTGGCGTGAGCTCGACAAGGCGATCCCCATCACGCACGCGAAGAAACGCTCGGTCAAGGGTTCGGTGCACCGCGTGCTTGACGAGGACATTCGCGACCGCGTTTGGTCGTGGCTGTATCGGTACAACAAGCGCCACTCGGAGACGACGTCTGAGGGCGCGCTCAAGTCATTGGCCAAGCTGCTGGGCCGCTGAGTTCAGGCGCTGGCGAAGCTGCTTAAAACGCAAAGTTTGGGGCTGTCGCTTTTTTCAATGTAAGGGTGCAGCGTGGGTACTCACGCTGACCAGTGTGGAGCGCATAAGAGATGAGCGCAGTCACCGCATGTTCGGTAGTTAGCACTGCGAGACGCGATGGGGACATGACTGCCTCAAAGCACGCTCTATCATCACCGCTGCCACCGTCATCGTCGTCGTCGTCGCTGCGCGGGCATTCGCTTACTGCATATGCGAAAACACACAGGCTACCGAACAGCCTCTGAAATAGTAGTAGTCGTAGTAGTAGTAGTAGTAGTAGTAGTAGTAGTAGTAGTAGTAGTAGTAGGAGTAGTAGTAGTAGTAGTAGTAGTAGTAGGGGTAGTAGTAGTACTAATATTCGTAGGTGTCGTTGCTTTCGTAGCAGTAGTGGTAGTAGTAGTAGTAGTAGTAGTAGTAGTAGTAGTAGTAGTAGTAGTAGTAGTAGTAGTAGTAGTAGTAATAGTAGTAGTAGTAGTAGTAGTAGTAGTAGAGGTAGTAGTAGAAGTAGAGGTGGTGGTAGTACTCGCCACGATAGTCAAGTAGCTGTCGTGGAAGCAGTACGAGCATAACCAGTCGTAAGAGTAACCGGATTGGTAATATATTAATAATACAATGTCCACAAACCGTGGTAGCAGCCGTAGGGGTAGTTGTAGCAGCAGTAACAGTAATAATAAAAGTAGTCGCCGTCGCCGTAGTAGTCGTTGTGGTAGCTGTAGTGGCGGTTGTAGTAGTAGCAATAGCCGTAGAAGTCGTAGTAGTAGTAGTAGTAGTAGTAGTAGTAGTAGTAGTAGTAGTAGTAGTAGTAGTAACAGTTTCAGTGGTAGTGGTAGTAGTCGTAGTAGTAGTAGTAGTAGTAGCAGTAGTAGTAGTAGTAGTAGTAGTAGTAGTAGTAGTAAAAGTAGTTAAGGTCGTAGTAGTAGAAGTAGTAGTCGTGAGCGTAGTGGTAAGAGTAGTGAAAGTAATCGTAGTAGTACTACTAGTAATGGTCGTAGCGGCAAGTAATACAGTAGTCGTATAGTGGTAATAGCGGTAGCAGTAGTAGAAGTAGTAGTAGGACGAGTAGTAGCAGTAGTCGTAGCAGTAGTAGAAGGTGGTGGTGGTAGTAGTAGTAGTAGTAGTAGTAGTAGTAGTAGTAATAGTAATAATAGTAGTAGTAGTAGTAGTAGTAGTAGTAGTAGTAGCGTACTACTAATATGAAGAGAAGCAGTAGTAGTAGCAGGCGTAGTAGCAGTGGTGGTGAGAGCAGTAGTAGTAGTAGTAGTAGTAGTAGTAGTAGTAGTACGAATAGTCGTAGTATTCATCGCAATGGCAAGAGAAGTCGTCGATCTAATGGTAACAGTGGTAGTAGTCGTAGTAGTATAGTAGTCGTGGTTGTAGTAGTAGAAATCGTCGTCGTAGTCGAACAAATAATTGTAGTAGTCGCCGTCGTTGTCGTCGTAGTTGTAGTAGTGCAGTCGTAGTAGTAACAGTAATCGTAGTAGTAGTAGTAGTAGTAGTAGTAGTAGTAGTAGTAGTAGTAGTAATAGTAGTAGTAGTAGTAGTAGTAGGAGAAGGAGTAGTAGTCGTCGAGGTGATAGTAGTAAGCGTGGCAGTAGTAACAACAGTAGTAGAAGTCGTAGTAGTAGTAGTAGTAGTAGTAGTACTAGTAGTAGTAGTAGTAATAGTAATAGTAGTTGTAGTAGTAGTAGTAGCAGCAGTAGAAGTAGTGGTAGGACTGGTAATCGTACTAGTAGTAGTTGTAGTAGTAGCAGGAATCGTAGTAGCAGTAGTAGTAGTAGTAGTAGTAGTAGTCGTAGTAGTAGAAGTCGTCGCCGTAGTAGCAGTAGTAGTAGTAGTAGTAGTAGTAGTAGTCGTAACAGTACAATTAGCAATAATCGTAGTAGTAGTAGTAGTAATAGTGGTAGTAGTAGTTGTAGTAGTAGCAGTCGTGATAGTTGCAAAAGTAGTAGTAGGAGGAATAGTAGAAGTAGTAGTAGTAGTCGTAGTAGTAGTAGTAGTAGTAGTAGTGGTAGTAGTAGTAGTGGTGGTAGTAGAGGTAGTAGTGGTGGTACTAGTAGTAGTAGTATTAGTAGTAGTAGTAGTAGTAGTAGTAGTAGTAGTAGTAGTAGTAGTACTAGTACTCGGCGTGATATAATGGTGGCAGTCGTAGTAGTAGTAGTAGTAGTAGAAGTAGTAGTAGTAGTAGTAGTAGTAGTAGTAGTAGTAGTGGTAGTAGTAGTAGTAGTGGTAGTAGTAGTAGTAGTAGTAGTCGTCGTCGTAATAGCAGTAGCAGTAGTAATGTTAGTAGCAGTCGTAGTAGCAGTAGCAGTAGTTGTAGTAGTAATAGCAATAAGAGTAGTCGTAGTAGTAGTAGTAGTAGTAGTAGTAGTAGTCGTGGTAGTAGTAGCAGTAGTAGTAGTAGTAGTAGTAGACGTAGACGTAGTAGTAGTAGTAGTAGTAGTAGTAGCAGCAGCAGCAGCAGCAGCAGTAGTAGTAGTAGTAGTAGTAGTAGTAGTAGTAGTAGTAGTAGTAGTAGTAGTAGTAGTAGTAGTAGTAGTAGTAGTGGTAGTAGTAGTAGTAGTAGTAGTAGTAGTAGAAGTAGTAGTAGTAGTAGTAGTAGTCGTAGTAGTAGTAGTAGTAGTAGTAGTAGTAGTAGTAACAGTAGTAGTCGGAATCGTCGTAGTAGTAGTAGCAGGAATAATAATAAAAGCAGTAGTAGTAGTAATAGTAGTCGTCGTCGGTGTAATAGACAGTAGTAGTAATAATCGTGGTCGTTTTCGTAACAATAGCGGTTGTAGAGAAATCGTAAATCCCACAGACCTGCCACACTCCCGTGACGATGCTTCAATTCAACATAGGAAGATAATCACTTCGATTTGGAACTTCCCCCCGCGATGATGAAAATCTGCCCCCCCGCCCCTCTCCCCCAACCAACTCCGTCTTGGCTAGAAATAATCAAGACCGGGCGCTAAGGGGGGGATGATTTATTATCCAGGGCAGTGAGTTCAGGAGGAAGAGGGGCTGAGGAGGAGGAGCACGAGGAGGAGGAGGAGGAGATACCTGGAGAAGGCACACGAGGCGGGAGGAGGAAGGGATGGAGGGCAGGAGGGACAGAGGGAAGCATGCAAAAAGGGAGGCGGGATGAGGAAGCGCGAGGGAGGGAAGAGCGAGGCAGGGGGGGGCCAGATGAGGGATGAGGCCGTCAGTCCATCAGCGTGCCGGCCCTGCTAGCCACAGCCGTAGCCTCGCAGAGGCCGCCCCCCCCCCCTGACGGGCGACCAGCATCATCGGCGCGCCAGCCCAGAGCGAGTCGAGCCCCCTGCCTGGGATGGGGGGCCGGCACCACGGAAGCGCGGAGAAAGGGGGAAGTGGCCTCCACCTCCTCCTCCTCCTCCTCCTCCTCTTGTTCACACTCCTCTTCCACCTCCTACTCCTCCCTCTCCTCCTCCTCCTGCTCCTCCTCCTCTTCGTCGTCGTCCTCCTCCTCCTCCTCCTCCTCCTCGTCCTCCTCCTCCTCCTCGTCCTTCCTTTCCTCCTCCTCCTCCTCCTTCGAGCTGCGGACGGTTCTCCCTCGCCAACGCCATGGGCAGGGTAAGAAAAAACCCAAAAGGTGAACAGAGAAGCTGACAATAAGTGACCTGGGGAGGGAGGTCGGGTGAGGCTGGTGGCGCCTGTATGCGCAGGCGCTGTGCGGGTGCGGAGGTGGCCCCGAGCGCGGGCCCCACCCCCATGGGGGGAGCTGTGATCCACCTCAGAGTGCCTTGCGCTCAGTGGGGGCCCGCCTCCCCTCCCTGAGGTCCAGACGTCAGGAGCAGGGTCGCCAGAGGCGCGGTGCGACGCGGCGGCGCAGCGGGAATGGGCCGCGTGGGGGGGGGGGCGGGTGAGTGGGCATGGGCGCAGTGGACAGTGCAGAGCAGGGTGGCCGAGAGGCTGCGCGCAGCGGAGCGAAGGGAAAGCGCGAGAGGTGGGAGCAAAGGGGGGAGCAGGCGGGAGAGGTGGCCCGAGCGAGGCACGCCCCCCCCCGAGGAGAGGGAGAGGTGGCTCAGCGAGGCGCGGTCGGGTGGTCCACGGCCGCCGTTGGGCTGTGCCCCCGAGGCGGCCTGCACCGATGCTGACTTGTTGGGTCTCCCTCCCCACCCCCGTGCTGTGGCCGCGCTGCTCCCGCCCCACTCCCCTGTTCCAGGGGTGCTTGCGAGCGCGGTGGTGCGAGGAGGCAAGGGTTAGCGGGCGAAGAGAAGGGGGAGAGGGGCTCCAAAAAGAAGAAGAGAGGGCGGTGAAGGTTAGGGGGTGCCTGGGGGTGCCTCCGAGGATGTAGGTGAGGATGTCGTCATTGTCCACCGAGTTTGTAAAATGGGCGTCGGCGAGGTACGCAGGCGGTTGCATTGTTTAATTTTGGATGTCGGCGTGCGCTGGAGTTGGCGTCCGCTGCCCACTGCTGCGTAGGTGGAGAAGCTGTCGCTGCTGTGTCGCGTGGTAGCTGGTGGTGCTGCTGCCGTGGTGGCAGTGAGTGTGTAGCAAGGGCGTGGCAGAGCTGTGAGAGTTGTTGAACAGGGAGGAGCCATCAGTTGTCACGCCGTCGGGGAGAAAAGCTGGCGGAGGCGTATGGGAGAGCTGCGCCCCGCGCGGGCGGCTGCAACTGGAGAGGCGTGACGCTGGGAGCTGTGGACCTGGCGCTGGTGCTCCTCACGCGAGGTGGCCCCTTGCCACGGGTCCTGGCGGCCAGCGTCGGGCCGGGGGATCGCGGTAGCCGAGCTCGTGGCCGAGGTCGTTGCCGCGGAGGCGGCGCTTCCCGGCGCGGGGGGGCCGCCCATCCTCTTGCGGCGCCTGCGGCCGGTGGAGGCAGCGCCGGTGGGCCGAGTCGCCCTTGGCCGGAGGAGATGACTGCTGTGACGACTGCCGCCGCGGGGCCCCGTGGCCGCAGGTGGGCCGCCGACTTGGACGCGTCCTGGCAGGTCCGCCTTCGCGGCCGGGGGCGCCGTGGCGGGATGCCCCCGCCCGTGCCCCCCCCGGCTCCGCCCCTCTGCCCACGCCCTCGGCGCTGCCCCGCCCCTCGCCCCCAGCGAGGGGAGGGGCGAGGAGGCGCACAGGGGCCGAGGGGGATCATTCGAAGGGCCCTCGCCCCCAGCGAGGGGAGGGACGAGGAGGCGCACAGGGGGCCGAGGGGGATCCTTCGAAGGGGGCCGGCTCAGGGGTTCGACGTCGGCTTGGAAGCGGTGGTGCATCGCCGACGCATCGGCGGTAGGCCCCCGAGGGCAGAGCCGCACCGTCTCTGGGCGGGGCGGGCCAGAGGACCCCTACCCCTGATCCCCGACGTCATGATTTGTTCATAACGT